CACACGTTTATATGAAACATCTATTTTTTCCCAAATCTAAGGATATCTCCCTATCTTCTACAAGGAAATGACGTTATAATTTCCCTAAAATGCTACGGTAATCCAGAAATGAGGTTAGGTATAGAAAATGAGTCAATTTTGGTCCCAACAAAACAACCGCTATAAATATAAACAATTCGAAATTACTTCCAATATTCCACGTTGGTGTCGAGGTTAAGGGCAAAGCCTAACACGCCGACAACCTGCGTTCAAATCTCATACCGATAAACTTTTTTTAATTTAATTTCACTCAGCTGCCGATGATCACTAGGACCACGAGACTGGTACGTGACAAGGGGGCTCAGTGGTGAAGGCCTGAGCGGTGAGGCAGAGTCCCATGGGGGCCCACGCTCTTTGAATCCCTCCGATACTCCATCCATTCTTCTCTGCATCGATTACATCAAACTCCCACTCTCGGATGTAATGAAAATTGCAAAAAGTTTTGCTCCATGAGAAAATACATAGGATTTTGGGCTCGTGGTATCTTTGTTCATCTACTGGTGGTTTGAATTTCCCGCTGTACGCGCAGTAGGTGATTGGTTGACTGAATAACGGCAGAAATGAAGTGGGCTCTAAAAGTCCTAAGCCCCATTCACACAAAATGGACGTCTGGCAGAGACGAGGCACGGATCTTTGTCCCTTCCGTGTGATTTGGGCCTGAGGGCCTGAGGTCGCCATAATGGACTTATTCAAATTTGCACGTGTTTTTCCATATGGAATGAACCAGAACTCTTGCAGCTATAGTACTGCTAAGTACCTCTATTAGTACTTACAGTTGTGTTATATATGGGCTAATGTAATGAATCATTTTTAGTTTATTGTATAAGTTTGAAAATGTCCTTATAGCCCGAAACTGCAATAACGTTAGTTACAAATAAAAGTGGTTAAAAACATAGAAAGTTTCAATTCTCTTTTTTTCATAATGATTTCCTACCACGTAGTAATGGCTACATCCATCAATTTATTAAATTTAAATAATTGCCAATTGTTGATATTTATGGCGGTTGCTTTGTCAAGACCGAAAATGACTCATTTTCTATAGTTAACCAAATTTTTGGATATCAGTAGACTTTTAGGGAAATTATAACGTCAATTCCTTGTAGAAGATAGGGAGATATCCTTAGGTTTGGGGAAAAATTGATGTTTCATATAAAGGTGTATGTGTGTATGTAATAATAAAACAAGCATCGATTATACAGGGTGTCCCTGGACTTCCTCTTTTCCTCTCGGGAATGTATAGATGGGGTCAAAATATCACCAGTACTTCATATAACTTTTTTTCTTGAAAAGTCACTGGCTTTGGTGGTCTGGTGGCCTGGTTATAATAACTTCGAAGACCCCACAATTCACACCAGGGCGTGGTGTCCACACTACTATTGCGTGACAGATATGTGTGTGTGCACGCGCTTGTGTGTGTGTGTGTTACGATAAAAGTAAGGGCCGCGTCTTCTCTAGCTCGCACAAGTATCGAAGACTTCTGAGAGTTAAGGGTGCAGTCGGTTGACAGAAATAACAATTTTAACAATCGCAACAGTACAAAACACTTTTCGACTTAAAAAATGCATACAAAGGAAAAACTTCTATTTGAAAAGTAATCATATATTGAAGAAAAGAGAATTGAAACTTTCTATGTTTTTTAAACCTTCAATGGGATTCAATTAAAAACATGGTTAACCATTTTCAGATGTCTAAAGAATCCTAGACTTACTTCTTGATCATTAGAGATCAGATAACCCTACTCTAAAAAGACGATTTCTGACGTACATTTCTGTGCAATTGTTATTCAATCTCAAATCATTCATTAGCAGTGGCTCAACGCTTACGTGTTGACCGTTGAAACTCCTGCACCGGACCTGGTTCGAGACCGGAGTGTGAGAGAACATGTCTCAAGTACAGCGCAATCGATAGGCGACCCCATGCCTTGTTGAATAGCAAGTCTCTTTGGAGCGCCACGACAAATAATATACGTCCTCTACCCGCACAGGCTATGCTTTTGGGTATAATCTACTAATATTTATAAAAGAGTATTATTTTTGTTTTCACCGTAGTGTGCACTGGTCAGGCCCTATCCCCCGAAGCCACGATCCATTCGGGAGGGCGCGCCAGCATTATCAACCAACGACCACTCCCTACACCGTGGGGTAAGTGATCATTGGGTCCGAGAATCATGTGTGTGTGTGTGTGTGTGTGTTTCGTCATATTTGTGACAACTTGTGTCTGTACTATCCTCAATTATAACACCTCCAAAAATTGTGGCATCTTACATGCGTAGCCACAATTTCTGTGAGAGTTTTCCATGCTCATTTTATGAAGTATTTCTTTTCAATTTTGAGCAACTTATATGTTGTAATTACAAAATTATGAACAAATTCAACTGAATCCTGAGTATTGTGAAATTTTAATGAATTTAACTATAAATGTGTGTGAGTTGCCACTGATGATGTTGTAGCATATTGCGTACACAGTATTAGGAATCACACGTTAAAAGGTAAGACCTCGTTAATCCTTAGCTCGCACAAGTTTCAAATTCTGAGGGTTGTCGTTCGTAGGGGTGCGACAGCTGGTTAACGAAAAAACAGATTTTAACAGATTTTAAACAGCCCCAATTATGGCATCTTGGGCGTGGTAGTACTCTAGCGCCCTCTATAATAAGAAATGCACTGCCGAAAAATCGACAATATATTTACCTAATACATGTTTGGTGTTTGATTAGTTCATGAGTTGCCATAGTAAGGTGTGCATTATGAACAAGCGATCTCGAAGACTGATAGCTTTAGCTAAAATAAATAATGAAATTGAAGTTGATACTTGGACGGAGAACAATTTGATTTTTCTTCCTAAACATGAATCAACACAAGGCACTACCAGAGATCAGCAAATTGCTGCAATTCAAGGTAAGTAAGACTGTTCTAGTTTCACTCGCTGAAGTGTCATTTAACTACAATATAACCTCAATTTTTATAATTGTTATTTGTTGTGCTACTCGCTACGTTTGCTAGTTTTATGTTCGTTTAGCCGTTGATCATAATAATATGAATAATTTTGAAACGTCTAGCTCAAGTTCATCTGATGAAGAATTTATTTACCTATACTAGAAGACCAAAAGTGTATAGGAAAAGAACAGAATGCTTCGAAAAATATGATGAGCTTGACTTTTACTAACGTTATCGGTTGAAAAAATAAACTGTTTTGTATCTACTAGATGAAATAAAAGGGCAAATTGAGTTACCGGAAAAGGTAGCGAATATGGTAACCTTCAGGATTTGCATGAAATTTTGACGGACGGTTAAAAACTCACCAAAAACGATAAAAATCGTGAAATTTTTCTGCGGAAATGCCTGGAAGAAAAAGTTCTCATCGGTGGTCGGTGTAAATACACAAACACAAGCAATTTATTCGCACTATTTCACTGCTTTTAGATCTGCAACATATGCCAGTATACATAAAATAGTAATTTAGAGTCATACAGAAGGTGATTTGCTCACAAATATATAAAGAATAATTGAAATTATCGTTTATTTCAATGATTTAAAATTCATCAATCTGACATCTACAAAAACATCAAATGTCAAACATAGAAATAGGAGAACATGGAACATGAGAAGATTACAATGCGACATTGCCAAAATTTCCAAAATTTCTTCATTCTGAGTGAATATGAAAAAAAAATTGCGAGTAGTTTCTAGGAATATCTGCGCCACTAGAATTTGCGAAATGGCGGCCGAGCGCGCCCCTCCCTATTACTAGTTTGCTATTTTTCTCAACTTCATGTAAGAACTTAGATTTTTATAGAATGCCAAAACAAACAACCCGATCAACATTTAGTATTGAAAAAGAAGTGAAGACAGTTGCACAACTCGCTTGCGTCATCGTTTAGGCAAGTTCAACAACCAATTTTCATCATCATTCTCATTGCTATACGAATTCTTTAGAAAAAATTGGCGGCCCTGAAAACCGCAATTTTTGTAATATAGAATGATTTTGAGCCGGTTTGTGAGTCTGAGTAATCGTCATTCGTCTCTTCAGAAGAGGAATTTTTGGCGCTGTTAAGTTTTCCTGCCAATCTGAAAAATTCTTCTGTTCTGTTTGAGTTGAGTTGGGCACACCTTTTATAGAACATATAGACCTGCTCTAACCTAACCTAACCTGACCTGACCAAACCTAACCAAACCTGACCTAACCCCACATAACCTAATCTGACCTGATATAACTCAACCTGACCTGATCTAACCTGACCTGATCTAACCTGACCTGATCTAACCTGACCTGATCTAACCTGACCTGATCTAACCCAACATGACCTGATCTGATCTGACCTAATCTGACCGGACCTAATCTGACCTGACCTAACCAAACCTGACCTGACCTAACCCCACATAACCTAACCTGACCTAACATAACCTGATCTGACCTGAGCTAACATAACCCGACCTGACCCAAACTAACCTGACCTAACCTAATTTGACCTAAACAAACTCAACCTAATCTATTTTAACCTTACCTGACCTGATTTAACCTAACCTAACATGACCTGACCCAACCTAACGTGACCTAACCTAATTTGACCTAACCTAACTTAACCTGACCTGATCAAACCTGACATGATCGAACCTAACATGACCTGACCTAACATAATCTGACCTAATCTAACCTAACCTGACCTGACCTAACCCCACATGACCCAACTTGACCTAACCCCACATAACCCAACCTGACCTAACCCCACATAACCCAACCTGACCTGACCCCACATAACCCAACCTGACCTAACCTGACCTAACATAACCCTTTTTTTTAGGGGGAGAAAGACCTTCGAACACACGGGACTGACTCCACGAGTGACTGGTGCTTCGTTAGCCAGTAAAACTCCCCCCTCTTCGCCACGAATGATCCATCCGGTACCGTCCGTACGGACATTCGTCAGATGGATCTGACATCTCTATATCGTCTGCCTCTCCATCTTACTCTTGCTGCTGCTGTCGCTTGCGCTCTTCTCGCTCTTTTATGGCCATTACGGTATTGGCATATTTCCGAAATTCTCTCCAGTTGTTATTTCTTGTTACCACAAATTTCTCTATGGCAAGTGGTTCTCCGATGCCAGCCTGAAGCGTCTGCCTCTCTGCTGTCCATCTCGGGCACAGAAACAACGTATGTTCAGCATCGTCTCTTTCATTTCGACAGTAGGCGCACTCTTCGCCAGGAGTCCTTCCGATTCGATGCGTGTAGCTGCCGAAGGAGCCATGGCCTGTCAGGAGCTGCGTTGCGAAATAATTAGTTCTCCTGTCTTTGAGGACCATCCAGTCTTTCACCGATGGTACCAGTTTCTTTGTCCACTGGGCCTTTTCCTGGATGTTGTCCCACCTCTCCTGCCATTTGTCCATAGTTATTTCCCTCGCCCTTCGCCTTCGTGCTGCCAACGCCTCGTCTCCACTCCTCTCGTGGGTGTATTTCCTCTCCGCAGCAAGAAGGTCTATAGGGATCATGCGTGCTACGACCTGTGCCGCTTCTGCAGACACTGTTCTGTACGCAGATATGATCCGTACTAGGCTCTTTCTCTGGGTCTTGGTCAGAATTTGCCTGTACTTCTCCATCCTCATGGCTAGGTACCAAATCGGAGCTCCATACAGTAGGATGAACTGTACCACTCCTCCTAGTACCGCCCTCTTGTCGCTATCAGGTCCCCTAATGTTCGGCATCAGTCTTGCTAGGCATGCCGCTCTAGCTTCAGCTTTTTTGGCAGCTGGTACTACGTGAGGTCCATAGAGTCTGCCACTGTCGATAATTATCTCCAGGTACTTGAGGGTTTTTTTGGGAATTATTTCGGTTCGTCCAAGCCGAAAGGTTATGCCATCCCGCTTCTTTTTTTCCTTCAGTATTACGGCCTCACTCTTTTCCGGCGCTAATCTGAGCTTGTGGATGGTGATGAAGCTCTCAATCTCTCGTAGGTTCCGTTCCGTTTTTCTGATGAGGTCCTTGTCCGTCTTTTCCCTTAGTTATAAGAGCGAGATCGTCGGCAAAGCCGATGGTCTTGGCACCTTCAGATAGGTTTAGTCTGAGCACCCCATCATACAGAATATTCCACAGGAGCGGCCCTAGGACCGACCCCTGTGGGACACCTACGTGGACTTCTCTGGGTTTGTCTCGCTCTACCTCTATCGTTCTGTTTCGCAAGTACGATTTCAGTATGTTGACCAGGTATCCAGAAACGCCCATGCTCTTGACCTTCTCTATAATGAGCCCCCAGTCCGCAGAGTTAAAAGCATTCTCCACGTCCAATGTCACCAATACACACCACTTCTCTCTGCCTTCTGCTGCGAAGTGTTTCATCTGTTCTAGAGCATGGATCGTTGACCGCCCCTTCCTGAAGCCAAACTGGTTTCCTGCCAATCCCCCTTTCTCCTCTACTTTAGTTGCCAGTCGATTTCTGACGAGAGTCTCGTACAGTTTTCCTATCGTGTTCAGCATACAGAGAGGCCTATATGCTGAAGGCAGATTGTGATCCTTGCCTTTCTTCGGAATCAGGACAATTCTTGCTATTTTCCACTGCTCGGGGAATGCCTGCTGGGTCAGGAGAGTGTTTAGCACGTCCGCAATCCACTCAGGCTCCACTTTATACCCCTTTTTGATCGCCTCACTAGGAATTCCGTCCGGCCCTGGAGCCTTTCCTGTCTTCATGGTCTCCACTGCAGTTTCTATCTCTTCCATGGTGAAAAGTTGCACTGGTTGTATCTGCCAGTCTTGATGTGCGACTGGTTCTTCACGAGTGTGCTTTTTCTGTTTTCCACCTTTCCAGATTGGCTTCATCAGATTTTTCGTTTCTACCAGCATGTACTTGTGTAGCGACAGGTTCTCTTCCTGCAGTACGCTCCAGCTGGAGATATCTTCCGCCATCTTTAAGGTCACGGCGGTGACATCAATGCATGTCTAGCTTGCTCCTCTGCAGAAGGTCGTTAAGGACGGTCATGTTCTTTGCTGCGAACCATTATGTCTAGTGTTCCCCTTGAGCATCTTCTACAGTGGATCCCCATGCCGGTGATTTGGCGTTAAAATCCCCGAGGACCATTACATTGTTTTTATAGTCAACCTCTCGCATAATCTCATCCACTTTCGCCTTGTATTCTATGATTCCTATATTCGGAGATATGTAACAGCAGACGGGAGTGCTCTGTTTGAAGTTGACGACTATATAGCCCTACATTTCCTTGGTAGAAACTACTTCAAGAGTCCTGTTAAGTATCAGCATTGCAACATCCTGCCGTTTGTCCTGGATCCATGTTGTTCCCCTTATTTTTGCCTTGTTTGGTTCAGCCACTATCAGCAAGTCCAGTTGTTCTTTTTTGCACTTAGCGTAGGCCAGGTCATGGGCCACGCGTGCTCTTCCCAAGTTAGTTTGGAGGATCTTCACCATTTAAGATGTTTTCGCTCCCGGTACTTCCCCGGTACTACAGCGAAACTATCCATTTATTTTCCTCCTTCCTGCATCTTGATAATTCTTTTCTAAAGATGCGGCACTTGCTGGTGCCCATTTTATGTTTTTCCTTGCACGTCGGGCACTCAGCCTGTGCTGTGCAGTTTTTCTCTCTGTGACCTTCTTCACCGCAGTTCCTGCACAGGTTCAGCCGGTTGTGCCTACTTTTACAGTCACTCTTCACGTGCCCGTAGCCCCAGCATTTCATGCACTTCGTAAGGTCTACCCTCCTCTGGAGGTTGCACAGATTCATACCGATCCTCAACTCTCCTTTGATAAGAAGTCGTTCTGTGATTTCGGCTTTGGCAATTATCGTGACCGCTTGCGTGTCCTGGGCTTTTGGCCTCAGCCCGCTCAATCTATATGGTGCCTCGGGGTCTCCCAACTCCTTCCTCAATGCGTCATGCACATCCTCAAGTGTTGTCGTTTCGTCCAATCCTCTGGCGTGGATCGTGACCTCACCCCGGTCTGCCCGGGTGACACTGGTTCTCACCGCGAGTCCCTCTCCTGCTGCCATAATTTTTTCTCTCAGGGTTTCCACAGCATTTTCATCTTTTTTTGTAAGGATGAGGATTTTTCCCTCCTTCGTCCTCCTCACACTTTTCACAGCCTCAATGTCTCTCGTTCCCATCAATGTTTTCTTGATATTTGCGAGGACTTGACCAGTGTCGGTGGCCCTCCGTCTACAACCATCGCGTACGTGTTCCTCGGCCTGTTAATTGTTTGTTTCGGAGGGTCCTCTAATTTGTCTGTGAATATTATTGTTTGTGTATTCGAGTCCTTAAATACGGTTTCCACCATTTTTCCCAACCTCCCAAGGCTCATACACTCAATTTTATGCAGAGCAATCCAGGAGTCCTCGGCTGTTTCCTCCTTAAGCATTATCAACTTGTCCCACAATTCCCTTTCGGTTTGCCCCAGGTTGATTCTAATGAACTTTCTCATGGAAAGTACCTCATCTGTCCCCCTCTCTGTAGTGCTTTGCTGTAGCACTTCAAAGTCTCCTGTGGTCTCCGCTATTTCGGGGTGTCTGAGTAGGTACTTTGCCTGGATGCTTTTCGTCATGCCCGGGTCGGTTGCTTCCACCATCACTACCTTGACGGTGCTGTCTTTGGTGGGACTGCCCACCTTGGCTACCGTCCTCTGAAACACATCCGGGTGCCATGTCTTGTCGGCTATCTGCAGCCAGTCGTCGTAGCTCGTAATTCCATCCAAGTTCTGTCTGGTATTTAAATCACTTTCATCTCATTGCGTGCTGGAGTCCGTTTGCTTTTTATTTTCCGTTTGGGTGCTGGCGTCTACTTTGGAGTCTTCTTTTGGTGGTTTAAAAAAAAATCTGTTTTTCCGTTAACCAGCTGTCGCACCCCTACGAACGACAACCCTCGGAAGTCGAAACTTGTGCGAGCTAAGGATTAACGAGGTCTTACCTTTTAACGTGTGATTCCTAACACGGGTTGGACGATAGCAAGTGAAGATCGATCGTTCAGACTAGGGCTTGAACCACCGACCAACACGGCAGTCAATTCGAGTGAGTGAACAAATCACCCACGCCGAACCACTTGGCTACCGACCGACCGTCTGGACATTTGCATCGTACGTCAGTTTTTCAGCCTTCTCGTATTTGTTACGTTCTAGCCACCCTTTGATAGAGTCCCTATTCAGGGCTTCTATGTACCGATTTAGTTTGTCTTTTTAGATGGACTGTATTGCCTCACACCGCAAGACTCTTTTTCCGTTTGTATGGTTCGTCCCCTTTGCCTATGGAGTCTTTGTCCTTCATTTTTCTCTTTGTAGTGTCGCCTGTCGAATTGCTCCTCTGTTTGGGGCTACTCACCTTGAGCTTGGTATGTTCCTTCTCTACTCTTTTATTTATATTGTCATCATTCATTTTTTTCCCACGAGTCGCTGGGGAAAGTTCGGTCCGCCCCTGCAGAGCCCCGCATGCAGGGGTAAGGCTAAGTCCCTCCTGAGTCGCCATTTTCAGAGGGCATCGCTTGAGACACACCTAATCACCCCTGTGCCATGCATCCCTTCGGCACAATGGTGCTACACCTTAAGATTAGGGGACGCGGTAGCCCTCCTCTCACTATACCCCTGTGGAGGCAAGTAAGAGGGGCACTTGAAGAGAAGAGGATGCAGCCGCCTCCCCTGCATCCCGAAGAAGGAACGGAGTGACCCCTAGCCCTCGGATACCCTAATAGCGTCGGGGTCGGAAGAAAGTTGGCCAAGGGAGGCCGATAGTAAAGAGAAGAAGATATCTTACCCAAGGGAGATAGAAGTAGGGTGAGAAAGGCCGGAGAAATCCCAGGGAGCGCCATCCCTCCACACTAGGTGTGTGTCTCCAGGAGGTTTTTTATCGAGTGTACCCCCTCTAGATCCGTTGCGTTCTGTAAGAGACAGGTCCGCCAGCGAGTAGGCACCCAATGATCTTGCCGATGGAGAGGCTGTTGTCTTCGCTTCACATCGGCCTGAGAAGAGTAAGAGTTGCCCCTTACTCCGACACACTCACCTTTTTTTTGAGCGGTGAGTGTGTCCAAGTCTCTCGGACCCGACCTAACATAACCTAACCTGACCAAACCTAATCTGACCTGACCTAACCTGACTTGAGCTAACATAACCCGATTGGCCCAACCCAACCTGACCTAGCCTAATTTGACCTAACCTAACTTAACCTGATCTGATCTATAAACCTAACCGGACCTAACATGACCTGACCCAACCTAACCTGACCTAATCTAATTTGACCTGACCTAACTCAACCTAACCTAACCTGACCTGATCTAACCTGACCTGATTTACATTCTTTTTTGGAGGGGAAATCCTTTATGGACACACGTCACAAGGGTCTTATTGACGGTAGTGTGGGACTCCGCTGCTCTAGCAGACAGTTACCCACTAAAACCCCTCCGTTTTGTTCACCAGAACTGTCCGGTACCACCGCATCCAGTTAACGTCAGGCAGTTTGGTGCTTGGTCTTCATTTCATCCTCCTCTTTTTCTCTCTTCTTCGTTTCTCTTTTCCATAATTCTCCTTACCCTACTGTATATTATCTCGTACTGTCTCTCATCATCCATCATGAGACTTATTATGTTTCTTGCTGTTATTTCTTTTCCTATCTCCTTTCGCATTCTGTGTCTTTCATTTTCATATCGTGGGCATTCGAATACAACATGGTCTGGTGTATCCTTTTTGCCGCACTCTTCGCATCTATCATCTTCCGTTTTCCCA